AAAAGATTGAGCAAGAAAAGAAAGAGGAGAAAACCAGAATTGCAATCCATCTACGGTGAAATGACTGAGATATGAGAAAGGCTGAAAGGGAAAACTTACAAATCAGCCGACTCAGTCATATCTGCCCTGGTGAGTACAACCTTGCTCTTTCATCTTCCTCATTGGATCTTTTTTGGTAATCTGAATCTCGAATCTCCGACTCACTCAAACTGCGACCTCAAAGGCAGGGCAGAGCAGACACATTATCTCACACGCTGGGAATATCTTGCAGGAAATTACACCTTTTTTTCGTCTCCTACAAACAAAATAAAATTATCAAAATTATTTAATGCTCATTATTCATTAAAAAAACTTAATATTACTCACTAATAACACCTGATAACCATGGTAATTTTCTACTTTCATGTTTCACACAATGGAGATAAATGAAAGGAACACCACACATTAAAAGTAGAGCTAAAATTATAATGTAATGAGCAGAAGATAACACATGCAAAGAAGCTGAAGAACACGACTTAGAGCAAGAAAACAAAAATGCTCAGGTTTATTTTAAAAAGGGGAAAAGAAAAGGCATGATCTTTTCAGGTCAAGCATCACAAACAAATGGGAAGCCAGACAAATATACTCGACGATAAAAGTAAGGCCGAAAAAAAAAAAACATTCAACATATCATCTAAAGAACATAAATGGGACTTGAAAACATGAAAAAATGCAAAAATTACAAACTTTTTTAGCGCAAAGCAGATCTAGGGGGAGTCGGACCGAAATTGAACTGGGAAAGGCGGAGAGATTGAAAGCGGAGAAGAGCGAGATGAAGAGAATGGTTACGTGATTGTCAGACTCTTTTTTGTACTGTGGCGCGACGCCCCCCCTACAAGGTGTCGATCGGCCGTCAGGGGCGAGCGCGTCGACGTCGACATCGAGGAGGCACTCAGCGATGGTGGGCGCGGGTCGAGGAGGTGTATGTGAGGCTGGCCATCAACTAGGCGCCGATCGAGAGAGTGTGCACGGCCGGAGAGAGATGAGTGAACATTTAGGGTGTGATTGTTTATATTTTCTACAGTAAATATCTCACTCAAAACTCAAATTTAACTCAACTTTAACTCAACTCCACTATCTCCAATATTATCAATATAATTAAATAATATCAAAAAATCATTATTACACATCACATCAACTTTAATTCACTATTCACACACTCATATAATTTTAACTAACCATCACTTCCAATCATTTTCTCCTACTTTTATATCAAATCAACTTTAATTATTTTAATTTAAATATTATTTTAATATATCCACTAACAACTAACCATACTACTTTTTTTCAAACTTAATTATAGTTAAAAAAAAAAACTAGTTTTTTACTAGTTGAATTCATATCCAATCACCCCCTTAGGGTTTGATGGATAAAATTATGCAATATGCTTCTCTATCGATTTAGAATTAAGCAACACCATTCAGTTTGATATCTGTTTTAAATTGTGCAAATTTACATAAAAATGTCTATTTAAAATTAGTGTACAATCTATGTGGTGCATATAACTGATAATAAATTACATTATATTCGTTTCAAAATAAGTATTATTTCAAAAATTTTATTCAGAAAATCGAATTGGCTATATGTGATTCCATAGAATAGTTAATTTTGATAAAATATTATTATATATTTAACAACCTATGTTAATAATAAGTATAAATATAAAATTTATATTGTTTCATTATTTGAAATATTTTATTATTGTATAAACTATTAAAATAAAAAAAATTAATATAGTAGAATAATTTATTAAACTATAAATAATCGACTATTTTATTTACGTCCAAATTAATATTGATCCGTAAGTTATTGAGTAATCTAATCTGGCCCAAGCCGACCGAGACAGACTTAACTGGCGGGCTCAATGTGGCTGTCTTCACAATGAACTATGTGCTCCTGTTCGTGATGTGGGCCCTAGTAGCCGCAATCCCCTGCCAAGACCGCGGGCTCCAGGCCCACTTTTATTATGTTGGGACGAGGCAGTTTACGTAGGTTGGCCTGATTCTCTCGCTCCACGAGAGGATTTAACAATAACTTAGCCCTTCTCAAGAACTCACAGCCCCTCCCCGTCGTCTCTGTGTCTCTCACCCTCAAGAACTCACGCAGCCCGTCGTCTCTCTAACCAGGTAGCACTTCTAAAATCTTTCTTACCAAGTCACCGTTGTCTCTTTTCTCCTTCACCCCTCTCGTTTACAGTCTGAGCTCTCACGGCGGTCTCGCTCGTCGTCACCGGTCTTGCCGAAATTTCTTGCGGTCTTGCCCTAGTTTTTCATACTTTCTGAAATTTCATTTTTTTATTTATTCCTAGGAACCATGTCGGGATTGGGTCAGCCTCCTCGTCCAGGTCTAACGTCATATGCCATTTTTATAATTTTGTACGTGGGTTTGATTTCACTTGTCTTGTTAATATTTTTTTTTTCCCTCTGAAATTGTAGATATTGCGGATTGCATGGAAGACTTGCAGCTTGGTCCATCTGGTATACTTCTTATTTTTTTTTTATTACTCTTTCCTTGTCTAGATTTTTTCCCCTGTTGGCAGAATAACATTTTTCTCTTGTTCCTATCTAACTTTCGTGGTGGGTGTCAGGTTTATTTGAGGTAGAACAAACTATGTCACAAGCAGTGCAAGTTGAAGCAGAAAATTTCATAGAAGGTAGGCTTTTCGAAAAAGTAGAGTATGACTTATAATGTGTGGTGCAATATACTTCATACGTGTAGCTAGCAAATATTAATTGGTTAAGTCGTTTCAGTATTTACATATATTAATTTTTCTTGTACTTTAATCTGTCATTTGGTTGTGCTACGGCCAAATCCTTTGTTTTCTCTTACAATACTTTGTAATTTTCTAGCTCCTTAGTTTATGTCCATGATATAAGCAATCCTTTTCTTGTTTGTTTGATTGTGGGGTTAATAATTTTCTTTTTGTTTAGCTCTATGGAATAATGTTTACCCTTTACTTTATATTAGTTTTCCAAGAATGTTTATCAGAGTATTTAAGCCATTGGGAGTTTTTTTCACTCTCTTTCGGTTGTGAACAAGAAATGAAGTGATTGACTGTTAGTGGCTTAATATAGTTGCTCGTGATTATTACTTGTTGGTTATATCTAAATTTGCTTGCTGCTTCTATGATATGGAACCAATAACCTTTTGTTTTGGTCTTGCTTGATTTTCTAGTGTTACATATAATTTCACACCAGTACTTTGGATCATTATTTGTTTATACAATCTTAGTAAACATGATTTTTTTTGCCGAACTTCTACATTTATCCTCTTTCCTAATATTCCCTATGCATGTCTCATGAAAAAGTCGACTACTGGAAGCCACATGGAATACTAAACGTTTGGTCGGCGAACATATTTCACCCAACTATAGTTTTCGTAAGATGTGCTCCTGCGATGAGTGTAGCACCATGATTGACGAGCTCAATGACTTCGCTGAGAGCACAAGATCCTTACTTCGTAGCGTAATGGTATATATACAGAAAAACTTACACGTGTAACATGTATTGATGGTATATTCACTTTTTTATTGACTCTATCTTTTCGTTTATGTAAACAGGACATTACATCCTTTCTCTCCCATACAGTTGATCACTGCTTCCATCTTTTATTGGCGTGTGACTGGTCAGCACGCACACTCCACAGGTTCCAGATTTTGCTCAAAGGAGAGAGTGAGGTGTGATTCTCTTTTTTTGCTAGTACTGACATGATTTCATTTTGTCTAATATTTTCTTTTGTTCCCCAGAAGTTAGGAATTCGATTTGAACTTGAAGAAAATAAGTTTCGAGACACCCAAATTCAAATCCAAGAAGTGATAGCTGCGAGTGATATCATTCCCGATAGAGATGAGAAGGATCTACCATGTGTAGCAGATACATCATATGTAGCAGAGCCCATACGTTTTGATATGGGCAGTCGTGGGGTAAGATAACTAAATTGGAGCTTTTAGAACAAATTTTATTAAGCTTTAAAAATATCAATCTGGTATTTAGATTAGTACTTTGTGCGCAAAGTTAGAGCTCAATCATTTAAAAACTTTTGGATGGTTTAAATTTATTGCCTTTGGTTCCTTTGTTTCTTGGAATTATTTTTTTTAGTTAGTTTTGAATATGTTGATTGAATTTTTGACTTTTTTTTTTTTGCTAAATCTCTCTTGTAGAAGTTCTATTATAAGCCTTCTAGAGTTCGGGATGTGGCACATGCACTACTGGATCGAATTTTAGAAATTGAAGATGAGCACGAGGCACTGAAGGCGGAGAAAGGTGTAGAGGTGGATTTTTCAATTTTGAAAGCCCATCTAGAACGGCAAATTAAGGTGAGAAATATTTTATGTTTAGTAAATTCATCATATAGTTTTATACAGAGTGATGAACGTATGATCTTTTATTTAATATAACTGTATATGCTTATGTTTAGTGCCTAGAGCAGCTGCCTGTTGAGGAACTACTTTCAGAAGTTGTAGATACCATACGCACAGTTCGTGCTATCATCCCGTTTATGGAAGAGTTGCCGTTAATCAGGATGTTCATCACAGGAGTTTGTAATGAAATGGTATCTATAAGGAGATCGTTTTGGCGGGTAAAATTATATATAGTGCATACATAATTTCTTATGTCATTAAACTGTAATAAATAAAAATATATTGCTTTTCGTTATCATTCAGGAATACAAAGGCGTGTATGCACATCTTCCAATCCCTGAACGGCATTCTATATTGACGAAAACCATTGGAGACTTGCAGCATTGGGTTTGTAGATTCTAATTCTCCTATTTTAATATTTTTAATAAATATAATAAATAGTTATTGATTATTCCTAAATGATATTTTTTATTGATGAATTAGGTCATATATTTTCGACGTAGAATGGGGGCTGATAGTACCATCTCTATTTATAAATCGTTTGCTCGGAAGCTAAGGCATCCGAAGAAGAATCCGAGGAAGAATCCAAGGGAAGCTGGGAAGGAAATGCAAGAGAAGAAGTATGATGCAAGGGAAGTTCGGGTGCAAATGCAAAGGGCAGAATAGAAGGCAAGGTCAAGGCTAGCTCAGAGGCAAAAGGAGATGCCATCGAAGGGAAGTTCTAGAGTCTAGAATTTGTAGATGCTGTGAAAGCTAGGGATCAATTTTAGTTGGTTGTTTATTTAATTTGGAGTGTGTGGATATGTGGTTGTTGTGGTGGTGATTGAAAATGAAAAACTGGATAGTACTTGGTGTGGAAATTGGATATGCAGATGACTACATGGTATTGCCAAAACTAGGCAAAAGGTCAAATTGATGTTAATTGATGTTCTATTATTATATTTATGTGCAGATGGCTACAAGGTGCTGTAGAAACTAGGCAAATGTCATATTAATGCCAATTGCTATTGACCTGTCTCTAAGTGTTGACCAATGTTTGTTGCTAAGAACAAAGGAAGGAACTGAGAGTTTAGAAAATGAGTCATTTGCAGTCAGGCTGATTCTGGTGTTCATATTATTCTAGAAAACGAAGGATGTTGTTGCGGCAACCTTTTATTGCTAATTTTGTTGGAAAAGATTTTCATTAGACTCTAGAAAAAACTTTGGAAACAAAAAGAAAGAAAAAGCAAGCAAACCACAAATGCACACAAAGAAGATGAAAAAGGGGGAAAACAGGAAAGAGCAGTTGTAGGAAAATAATATAAGTAGCGAAAGAGAGGTTTAAAATTATGATCGTAGTGTGTATATGCTCCCTATGAACTCTTGCGCTGATATTTTTCTCCCACTGCACTCTTAACTTTGTTAAAACAAGCCCTTATTTATTTGGTGTATTGAATATATACAAGCTTATAGATCTTCATATGTTTGTTGGTGACACCTTTTGCTTTTGGGGCATTGATTGATTCAAATACAATATTGTTATTTCATGGAATTCACTCACACGAGTTCCTATTTAGTCAAAAAAGAAAATGATATGTATATAATTAAGTTACGACTTTTCTTGTTTATTTGAGCAAGTACCATATGCTTTTGAGCAATGCATAAATTTCATGAAGTTTGTTTATATTGTCCTGCAGTAGTGGTATTTTAGCACACTTTTGACCGTGTAAAATACTGTGTCTTTATCACCTCCATCTATGTTTGGAGGTCTTGAGCCTATCCCCAACAGTAGTCTTCATCTACGTAGGTCAGGAAGCCGATCGGTTATGTTTGATATCGGTAAGAAAATATTTGTCACACGTACCTTTTACTCTCTACACGGCACATGCCATAGGTGCGACATTACTGGTTGTGCTTGTGCAATGGTTGAGCAGTGCTGCAATTATGCCTTCTCCTCTTCTGCTGTGGAGATTCAAGGTATTACTGTGAGTTGATTTCTAATAGATGGAGTGAATGCATATTTCATTTTACTAACCAATCTTTTCCAATCTCAAAATAATTTAGGCTATACTCACTTTATGAGCTCTGAAAATTTATATTTATGATTTATTGTGGACAGAAATAATTTTATTCTTTCTGTCTTCCAGCTTTCAATAATTACCCACATGGGATCCTTCTGCTTCCACTCCTCATAGTTTTGAGTCTTGTAGATTAGATATTTGTTTCAGATATAAGCATGTGTTGGTAGTTTTTTATAGGGCTTACTTGATGGCATTACAACAGTACCACTCCAATATTTCCTACTGAGGCTAGGAGTTTTGCTCGTCATTAAACTGTGATTTTTGATGGTTCTGAAATATGCTTTATTGCTAGATCTTCTGAGGTCCAGAATACTCTGATGTTGAGTTGCGATGTCTGTGTCTAAATTTTTATATTTTTAGTGAGCTTCTCTGTCTTTTGTAAAAGTAATAATTCTATTTATATGGGTCTCAGTTGTCTAAATTTTTATATTTTAGCCAGCTTCTCATTTTTAATCTAACTTAATGTGCAGGTACTATTGTTTTTCGTATGGGGTTTCAGTTGTTGCAAGGTCAGTTTCCTGTACATACTCATGTATGTCAGTATATGTCTAGCTTGAAAGTTCTGTAAGTTCTGTAAAAATGCTGCTAATGCTTTCCTTATGCTCTGTATTATATATCTGGTGCTGTTAGGTCACTCATATATGCTCTTTTTTTCTTTTTTCTTTTTTCTTTTTCTGCAGAGATGTTTCAAATAACAACTTATATGGTACAATTCCTACTACTTGTCCATTCGAACACATCCCATTGAACAAGATTTGTAAAATTGTTCATCAGATATCATGTCTTCGATATATTGGTTTGTTATTCTTGAAATCTTGAAATTACGACCACTTGGGCATGTATATATACATTTATGGATGCAGGTTATGTGTGATGCGGGTGTCCTGTGGATCATATACATTTATGGATGTCATTTATTGGATTGTACTAAATGGTCTACATTTTTATGTTTATAAAAGCTTCGGGATTATTATTCTATTATATTCTATTTTACATGTCTTTTAAGTTAGCATGAATAGATATGAAATAATGGATTTGATGTTGGGTGAATATGAAATAAGCTATATTACGTTTTTGTGAGTTTACAGTCCCGTGTTTCTCTTCATAATTTTCTGCTCTCGGTCTTCTTTCTCCCTGGTTTTGAAGGTTTAGCAACTTGTTTGTTGTGTTTTGCAGCTTTGAGAACAACCCTTGGCTGGAAGGTCTCGAGCTGCTGGGGCTTGTGAGTTACGATACGAACTGCTATTGATGCACTTCGCCGGAAAACAGATATCGGACTTTGCTCTAAGTCTTGTGTGCCGGGTGGTGCCTTTTTCCTTTTTTTTTTGCCTTCTCCTTCCTAAGTATTTTTAATGTTGTGCTTTTCGATTTAAAGAAGCTTTAAGAGATTCTCAGAATCTCAATACAGTTAAAACAATTTGTTTATTATTTGGTTATTCTTGTTACTTCACTACACGCTGTATAATGTAGTTAAATCACTTTTAGAAAGGAGAAGGGTGTGAGGAAATTTTTGTAACAGCATTAGAAACCACCAATAGGTAGTCTTAGAAGAGTTAGGTAGTCTTAGAAGAGTTCTTCCTGTAAGTAAAATTCTGAATCTATAAGCCTATAATCACTGGAAATCTAAGCACATTCTTCAATACTACACTCATAACCTTAAGCAATGTACTGTGAAACAATGGCCACTTTTTATGTTTGATCATTCTACAGACATTAAGATAATAACATTAAGATTCACACAGAGACCTGATTTATTTCATTAGCACGAAAACTCTACACTTGTCTACTCAGTTCTCCAGTATCACATCATTTGCACGTGAAAAGAAATTGAGGAAATTCAAAAGCATGGAATATTACGAAAGTTACAAGACATACCTAGATCGACATCGTTAAATGGACTTCAACTTCCCAAAATGATGATGTCACCAACTCTGGAAAAAGCTCCCTCCGGAGTGCACTCGGCTAACAAAGTCCAGATTCTCTCAATGAAACAGTTGACAAAGATGTTCAAGTAACATATTTAACGAATATGTGTTTTAATACTTTTTGTGATTAGACATAGGGAAAATTGCTGGTCTTGTGTAAGTTGAACATTTTCGAGCTTCTAATACCTGATAATTGAAAAGCAAAGCTAGTTAACATATTCTGTATCGTGCCAACTACAATTGAGGAAGCATAAAAGAAGGGAAAAGTTATAAGTCTAGAAAAAACATATTTGTATGTTGAAAGATAGAGAAATACGAAAGATGCAGATGAATTACTTACCTTTTTCTAAACAAATCTCCTACAGCAGACAACCGAAGGAGAACACCAGGCTTCTCACTTATCGAACCTGATTTCATATAATCCAAATGATTTCAAGCATCAGGTAACTTTAAATCAGAATACAAAAACTATATCACAAACCAGATTTGTCAACACACACTGTATATACGAACATAAATTTTCTCGTTTCCAAATTAATTGTCGTCACATGACAGAGAACCAGAAAAAAGTTCTATTTGAAAATTAGCTTGCCAAAAGAAGTCATCTAAAATGGTAAAGAGGCATATTACATGAAACAAATCAATAGTACTACCCTCAGACTTAAGTTATTCAGCAGATTATAAGAGTCAAAGCACATGTTANGCAAGCAATAAAAATACTAATCAAATTTCATGAATGTGAACTACAGTTTAAAAATATTAAATCTAATACAATAAAGAATCCTAAATAATGATGCTATAACAAAATGACCAAAAAATGATGCACCTTATGGGCTATACCACTATGTAAAAGCTTCCCAGTAACATGAAGCTTCCACGGTATCATACCACCGATACAATGCAGTGCAGGGTACCAATGCAGGGCTGCTTATCAGCTGAGTCAATCCACAAACCTGCAAGGGTGCAAATAGAGATAAAGATCAACAATGACACCTGATAATATTTTCTAATACTCTGTAGATATACTCAGATCCAGAATAATTTGATCAGACAAAAAATATAATAGAATATGTACGCTGAGGTCTCTGCTTTAATTTTTCCAGCAATACATCCTTCAATAATGCATCAACACCCACTTCAGGGATGAATGAATTATCTTCACGGGCTAAGAAAGAACAACCCCAGGAGCCTTTAGTGGAGGCTTTGCTTCCCCCAACCTTCTCATTAATTCAGCTACAAGGGCAACACGCCCCAAACAATCAGTAGTTCCCACGCCCTCTAAGCTTGTCTCCATCAATGCCTAGAGTAAAAACATCAAAATCCTGTATCATAATGCAGCAGAATCCATAGAAAACTTCGTCTTACTCACATAATGGTAGATCTGAAACTTTTTAGCAATTCTACTTGACGTAACTTAATCCAATCCACATTTAATTATTCAACTGGAATCAATATTTTAAATGAACAAAATACAGAATATACGCAATCAATATTTTCCACAGAAAATTTCAGATAACTCTCTCATGTGCCAGACGAATCCATTAGCAAAATAACAAATAAATAGCCCACATCAATACATAGGAGCAATATAGACATAAGAGGATAAAATAAAATGACAAAATACCGAACTGTGTGTCCGCTGTGAAACCATGTGTTTCATGGTACCGCCCAGGATTTCACCATGCGTTCCATGTGAAATCATTTTTCACAGAGAAAATAAAAAACAAGAACAAGCTGCACGGCCTGCAACAGCAATTACCGAACATTGACAATGAAAACAAACTGGCAATTACTTCATGCACATCTTGAGTATTTGTATTAGGCCCAAGCACTTTATCTGTCATCCAATGAATCGAAAGTACAAATGGTGTCAAAACAACATTCCCGCAAACCATAGGAATATGTGAGCTCATGTGATAGAAGCCTACCAAATGCACAGGAAGTCATCGGATTATACTCATTCCGCACAATTTTGTCAGCATCCGCATACCAGGCGATCTCGTCTCATTTATTATATTCCCTGTCACTGCAACACAAAAGAACAACGCAAACAGCTTCAATATCACTCCTCACAATCCTCCCCGTACTAACAACCGTAGCTTCAATCTCCCCTAATTCAGAAGATCCAAAAAATCAACCAAAACCAGATTACTAATTAAGTCAAAACTAACTTTAAAGGTGGAAACCTCATAGTCACTGAAATGATATTCCCCAATCTCGAAGCACTATCCTTCGCCGCTGCTGTCGCCATAGAACGACGCCCTCCGTATAATGCTTGATCTGTTTCCTCTCCGACGGCCACCAAGAACAAGTTCTAGAAAATTAGGGAGGAAAAAAAGTAAATTAAATATAAAGGGAAAGAAAAAATGAAAATGGAAAACAAAACTGACAATAGCTAATATATGGGATTTCATGAGGAAAGAAAATAGGTCTCGTAATCCATAATCGTGATAACAGTCCCAATTAATAATGATTTTTTGTTATTTTTGAAAACAAAAACGGCCTGTATATATATACACTTCCAACATGCAACACTAAGAAGAGAAACCTTAATCAGAATGGTGTCTCCTCGGAAAATCTGAAGTTTTTCCATGGTGTTCGGATTGAGAGAGACGACGGAGTTGTCATCATTGACCGCCTCATCTACAATTGGCCGATTTGCCCCCTTATTCCTCTCTAAAATCGCGGTCTAGAAGTCTTTCCCACTTTTCATGTTCAGAGCAAGAAAAGGATTCAGATTACTCGAGCCGATCACTTGAACCAAATAATAAAGACGACAA